GCAATTACTTGTCACCTAAGATTGGTTGCCCTGCATCTAAACAGATGATGAGCAAGTGGGTAGTTGAGGCTATCTCACTTGCTTATGAAGTGGCCGGACAGCCTTCACCTTTGGCTGTCCAGGCTCATTCTACGAGGAGTATTGCTGCCTCTATGGCATTAATCTGGGGAGTTTCCCTTCATGGCATTTGTGATGCGGCAGGCTGGTCCTCACCGCTTACATTTGTTAGTTTTTATGACTTGGATCTTGGCTCCACTCCAGGGTCTAGGGTGCTTGCTTGCTTAGTGTGCGCATTGACTTCACACAGAACAGGCATTTGTCATATGGCGTCGTGGGTATAGGGTTCCCACCGCGTCTCGACGCAGCTCGAGTTCCCTTGAAAGGGAACGTCTAAGGTTACGTATGTAACCCTGGTTCCCTGAGAGGGAACGAGATGCTGCGTCGCCTTGCCATACTCCCTGCATGCCTGTGATCGACTTGCTTCGGCTTTTCAGAAGCTGACGCGGTCTGTTTTCAGGGGTGCTTTATAGCTTCCTGGTCGATGACGTCACCCGCCTATGACGTCTCGTCTTTCCATTGGACTGATTATACACTTGCTTCACGACGCAATCACGCAGGGCGTTCCCACCACGTCTCGACGCAGCGTCTCGTTCCCTCTCAGGGAACCAGGGTTACATACATAACCTGAGACGTTTTTTGTCCAATAATTAGAATCTCTGTTTTTTCAGAATTAAGTAGTTGGAAATTACTAGTCATCCATATTTTTATATCAGCTATGCATTCCGTTAATTTTGTGCATTGGTAAGTTTCGTCAGGGTGTGAAGAAATATAGAGCTGAGTATCATCAGCATAACAGTGAAAACTAATGCCATGCTTCCTAATGATATTTCCTAATGGTAGCATGTACAGAGCGAACAGCAACGGTCCTAGTACTGAGCCTTGTGGTACACCATACTGAACTTGTGATCGATAACACATATCTTCATTTACTGCTACAAACTGATAACGGTCAGATAAGTATGATTTAAACCATGCTAATGCAATTCCACTAATGCCAACATAATTTTCGAGTCCATTTAAAAGAATGTTGTGGTCGATGGTATCAAATGCAGCACTAAGATCGAGTAACACTAATAGAGAGATACAACCGCGATCAGATGATAAGAGCAAATCATTTGTGACTCTGATGAGAGCTGTCTCGGTACTATGGTACGGTCTGAATCCTGACTGAAAATCCTCGCAGATATCATTTCTTTCTAAAAAGGAACATAGTTGTGAAAATACTGCCTTTTCTAGTATCTTTGACAGAGATCGGCCTGTAATTGACTCATTCTGTAGGATCAAGTTGTGTTTTTTTTTTAAAAAGCGGTTTAATCATAGCCAGCTTAAAACTTTTTGATATGTATCCTAATGACAAAGATGAATTAATGATATTAATAAGAGGATCTATGACCTCTGGAAGCATCTCTTTCAATAGTTTAATCGGTATTTTGGTTATTTTATTTATAAAGCACTTTACAACTGCACCTGCAGACCAAAGTGCTGTACAATCAACCACATAAAACAAACAACACATAAAAACAACATGCAACTTACAAAAATAAATACCAGCCCAACCTCTCAAAGGCTAAAGACATGAAATAATTTTTAACACTGGTTTTAAATACATTTAAAGAAGTGATCTCTCTTAACTCAAGAGGCAGACTATTCCAAAGCCTCGGACCCGCAACAGCAAAGCCCTGATCTCCTTTTGACTTTAAATGAGATCGACGGAATGAGAGCAATGATTTATTATTTGATCTTAAAGACCTAGGTGCTTGTTGAAGAGCAATAAGCTCAGATATATAGGTAGGAGCTATCCCATGCACTGCTTTAAAAACATACAGCAGAGTTTTATATTTGATCCTGAACTCCACAGGTAGCCACCTGAGAGACGCTAAAACAGGGGAAATGTGATGACTTTTCTTAGCACCCACCAGCAGCCGTGCCGCCGCATTCTGTACTAACTGCAAGCGTGATATAGTGGTCTGACTGGACCCTACATACAAAACATTACAATAGTCAAGGCGGGACAGAACAAAGGCATTAATAACCTTTTCTAAATCTTTTCTCAACAGAATAGGTTTTAAGCGAGCAATAGTCCTAATCTGGAAAAAACAACTCTTAACCACGGCATTAATCTGCTTGTCAAATTTCAGCTCTTGATCAAACACAACACCTAAGTTTTTTACTTGGTCATGGCAATAATCTGACCATGTGCCAAAATATGTTGCAATATCAAGGCATCTTCTGGCAGGGCCGAAAAACATGATTTCAGTTTTACTTTGGTTTAACTGAACCAAATTATGAGTCATCCAGCTCTTAACCTCCTCCAGGCATGCCAACAGTGAATTAGAACCACAATTCTCTACTGATTTCAACGGGAGATAGATTTGTGTATCGTCGGCATACAAATGGTACGACATGCCATATTTTTTAAAGATCAAACCCAGGGGCAACATGTACAAAGAAAATAAAATAGGGCCTATAACAGAACCCTGAGGAACCCCACAAGTGACGGGCACTGCTGTTGATACAAAGTTACCATACTTTACTGAAAATGTTCTATCAGTAAGATACGACTTGAACCACTTTAAAACTGTTCCACGTATTCCAACCAATTGGGATAACCGCTCTATGAGAATCGCATGGTCTATAGTATCAAAAGCCGCACTCAAGTCCAATAAAATCAGAGCTGCAGCATTACCTGCATCTCGGATTAAACGAAGGTCATTAACAACTCTCAAGAGTGCTGATTCCGTACTATAACCTGCCCTAAAACCGGACTGAAATTTATCTAGGATCTCATGTTTACTTAAAAATAACATCAGCTGTGCATAAACCACCCTCTCTAAAACCTTTGACAAGCATGAAAGTTTAGAAATAGGCCGATAATTCTTCAATTCAAAAGGATCCAAGTTATGCTTTTTAAGAAGCGGTTGAATAACCGCTTGCTTAAGAGCCGTTGGAACAATCCCATTATGCAGACTGCTATTAATAATAGAGGCAATACTTGGTCCAACAACATCCACCAATTCCTTGAGAAGGCGTAAAGGAGTCACATTACAAACATCAGATGTACGCTTCAAATGAATAATGATGTCCTTAACTTGCGCCACTGACACCGACTCAAAGATGTCAAAACTCTTGACACTAGCTGTCAACAACACAGTCTCAACTGGCAATAAAGGAAGACTAGATCTAATCTTCTCCACTTTTTCTATAAAATATGTTTGAAACCTGTCACATGTTTCCAACGAAGGAGTCAAAGCAGAACAGCCAATTGGTTTTAGAAGTGTATTTATCGTTGCGAAACGGGCTCTAGGGTCATTACAATTCTGTGCAATGACATTAGAGAAATAATTTTGCCTCGCAGTTCTCACAGCCGCCTGATAGTCTGAAAAACACTGCCTCATAATTTGAAGAGAAACCTGTAGTTTATCCTTTCTCCATTTTCGTTCAGCCTTTCTACATTCCTGCCTCAAAGAACGAGTATAATTATTAAGCCAGGGTATTGAATTAATCTTTGGTTTCCTAACTTTATTTGGGGCCACTACATCCAAAATATCTGAGCAAACAGAATTAAAGAGAATCAACAGCTCATCTGGGCCCACAGAAAGAGAAGGAGACTCAATCACATTCACAAGTGAAGAGGAGATATATAACTCAGAAAATTCTACAGCCGTTGATGACGTAATGAGTCGAGAACAAATCACATCTGTCTGAGGCAAAATTGGTTTCCATGGCAAACAAGTATTAAAAATAACAGGCATATGATCAGACAAAACATCACTACAAACATCAATATTACAAATTGGAAGCCCCTGAGACAAGACCAAATCCAAGATATGGCCTTGTTCATGTGTAGGACTCGAAACAGACTGTATGAAATTAAAAGAATCTACCAATTGTATGAACTCAGAGACCATAGGCTTATTCGGACAGCACACATGAATATTAAAATCCCCAAGAATTAAAATATTATCACAACTAGGTACAATATGAGATAAAAACTCTGAAAACTGCTGAATAAAATCCTTGTTGTACTTTGGAGGTCTATATACCAGAACACATAAAACAGCTTCCCAAGCATCACACATCATAACTTGGGCCTCAAAGCTCTGATAATTCGCCATTGAGCCGGTATGGGGTCTAACATACAAGATGTCGATTTAGATGATTTGACGAGTTAAAAAAATTCTTCCTCTCCTATAGTAATGAGTGAATCGAATTTTTCCTCAGGGAGACTATAATGCACACCCTGATACAATACTGTAGTAGACGGTTGCATAGTTATAATTTTCTCCCTTATAAGATAGATATTATCTATCTTATAAGTGAAGTTCATAAAGTCATTACTGTTGTGCTGCTTGGAAAATTTCTGGGTTTATTTTTTGTTAGTTTAGCCACTGTTTCAAATAAATACCTCAGGTTTTGATTATTTTCTTCTAATAGGGTTAATTTCCATGAAACGCGAAATACTTCGTTTTGTTTTCTTCCAGTTGCGCTCCATTTTTCTGGCTGCTGGAAGTGCTGGAAAAGAGAGAGTTAAAAGTTTCTGTCTCAATATCAAGTTCTTTTAAGCTATCTGGGATGCTGAGATGATGAAACTGATCAGGAAGATTATTAATAAAGCAATCTTTAGTGGCAGAGGTGATAGTTCTAACATATTTGTAACACGGAGTCGGCTTTGCAGGCTTGGCTAAATAAAGTTTAGCAGCAGCAGCAACGAGGCAGACAGGGACTCTGATAGAGAGTCTGTGTTTGCAGACTCTGATGGAGAGTGTGTGTTTGCAGACTCTGATGGAGAGTGTGTGTTTGCAGACTCTGATGGAGAGTGTGTGTTTGCAGACTCTGATGGAGAGTGTGTGTTTGCAGACTCTGATGGAGAGTGTGTGTTTGCAGACTCTGATGGAGAGTGTGTGTGTTTGCAGACTCTGATGGAGAGTGTGTGTTTGCAGACTCTGAGGTCACACTAGTGTGGGAGAAGCAGCCGACTGCAGACGAGGAGCAGAGAGCCAGACGCCTGAAGCTGCCGCCCACCTTCCTCTGCGGTGTCAGCAGCGACTCCGACTCCGAGCGACCCGGCGACTTCAGCGCAGAGCTACACACACTGCAGCACGCTCAGGTCAGAGGACTTTCTCCACACTGACATGAGACGTGATTAGCAGCAGTGGTTTGACTCATGTGTCGTGTTCTGGACACACAGGTGAAGCCGAAGCCTTCCCAAGATGCAGCAGCGGAAGAGCCTCCCGTGGACGGCAGCATTGACCGCATTGACCTCTCCACGAAGAGGAGCAGCGAGAGCGAGTCCAGCTCCACTGCAGGTACACGTGTCCTCCTCACTTCTACAGCAGCGCTGCCCTGGACACACTCCAGTTTAATGTCTAGTGACTGTAAGAGCAGAGCAGCAGAGGGCCAATCACAGTGATGTCTGCTGAACTCTGACAAATGCTTTCATCATAACACACAGTGCAACACGATATAAATAAGAGATTCGTCTTTCAGCGCAGACGGTCATTGATTATAACGAGAGAGCAGATCTCACTGAATGAAAACACACTGACACGATGATAAAACAATGAAAAAGTTACTACTTTGGTTCAGGTAAATGTAAGTTAAGTGTTTAAAACCGAAAATAAGGAATATTTTTATTATTAGAATTGGATGCAGTTTCTTTCCTCAGTGTAGAAATGATAAAACATCACTGAAACCATGATACCAGTTGAACCAGTTTCTCCTCTGTAATACACCATCATCTGTAAGCCCTAATCAGACAGTATATGTTTTATACGGGGAGGTGGGCTAATATAATAATTTCCACCGCTTCTCTGACATGTGGGAATGAAGTCCAGCCCGGGGTCAGAGAGTGAAGGACAGGGACGTTCATTCAAACACAAGCAGCATTTGCCTTTGGTATCGTCTGACGTCTTTGCTCTTCTCCAGCAGGTCTTCCTTTTGCATTTGCATCTGCATCTGAGAGTGCGTTTTCATTTGCAGACTTGGCAAAGGCTTCAGGAGAATCTGCTTTTGGCAAAAAAGGCGAGTTTTCCGTTTACATTTTAACCAGCGTTTAGCCAGTGTCTGACAGTCATTAGATTTTATTTTTCATAATAAAGAGTCAAATTCACAATTCTTTCTGTTAAGTTGTCTAACAGGGCTGAGCGAAAAATCATGAAATTATGATGGGGGTGTTGGAAACTCAGAAGCAAAGACCAGGAGACTTGGTTGTATCTTCAGCAGGATTCTTTATTTAGAACACGAGCTGTCAGTAGCTGCAGTAATTAAGTCTGAATTATGGGAATCTTACATTGTAGTTTATACACATTTAGAGGGCAGTGCTTACATAGTGGTAGCATGTAAATGAAGTACAGGAGTCAGCTCATTCCCCAGTCCCGATCTCATCAGCATAACAGTGTAATTCAAATGCATCGATGATAATCCAATCAGCCTAACTATTCAACGACTGGGCAACGGGCTCCAAGAGCCATTAGAGACAAAGGGTGAGAGTCTCGGGAATCTGACTCATTTAACTTACAATAGAGAGAAAAGGACTGGCAGGAATCTCATGCTTAACAGCTGATATCATCATCAAAAATGCTAAATTCTATTTACTCTACCTTAGTTTTTCATGTTATGTTATGTAAGGACATAAGATCAGCAGATCTTAAATAGATTCTTTAATTTGTAATCCCACAGTCCCCTCTTTGAGAGTTCTAATAACTCTCACAAAATACAAATTTAGACACTTAAAAGTTCATTCTTATAACCTGTGATTGTTACAGGCACATGCTCATTTTCTGTAATTGCATGCTGACACAGAAACAAACATGCAATTAGGGTCTGTGAAGTTCTTACGGGTAATAGTCTTTTCTGGTTGGAACTGTGATTTTTCTCGTGAGGGGCGTGAGTCATTTGTTGAATGAAACACTTGATACTGTGGATGCATAGATAGTACGCCAGTAGGAGAAACAACAGCAGAATTGCTATTTCCTTGATCCACAGCCAGGGTTTACCTAACAAGTTTCCGAACCATGAAGAATTATCTTCAGTCATCTGGTGTAATTTTGCTGAAAGATCTTGTTGGATTTTGATGGAAGTTCTCTGTTGGATCCATTAACCCGGTGCAGCACTCAGGGCCGATAATGGTGCAGGCTCCCCTTGTATTGCAAGAATGTAATCCAAGGCCACTCTGTTCTATAAGATTATTATCTTGTGCTAAGCGAGAGTGTCTGATGTTACCCAGGGGCAAAGCCGTATCATTGGCCAATTTCTGTACAAAATTCGATAAGCTTCTGACTTGATCAAGCGCCTGTATGACACCATAAGACGAGATTAATGCTCCAAGAGTTCTTGACCACCATGTTTGTGCACAAGTGAGTCCTGGAATGCAGCCATCTTTTTTGTTTGTGGTAGGAGCTGAATTTTGTAGATGTAGAGAGAGATGGGGTGTGCCCCCCATGGGATTCCTGCTCCTACTGAAGGCTGGTGTGGCATGCAAACGTTTTTTTTCCAGCAAACAAGGCGTTTCTTGACATATTCATCAGCTCTAAGAATATGTTGTTTCTGGAGTCTACACTTTGTGCGATGTCCATGATGGTTACTGGTATGGCAATCTTGTTCATGTTGATGGATGACTGAAGTTCCCGTACGTGAGTCTCTGAACAGTGAGGTAAGGATGGACTAGTTGATGGGGAAGGCCTATGAGAGAGTCTTCACCGCAGGGTTGGCCCCCGAAGCCTAGTGCATTCGGTTCTTCCCTGGGCTCCTCACTAATCCGTGTCCTATCCTATCCCTGTAGGTGGGGGAACAACTTTACAGTGTGACACAGGAGTCCAGGTTTTCCTTCTCTGACACAACACTGCAGCTGCTGTACATGTAACACATCTCTTGACTGTTTCGGTGGCTATCTTTCTGAATTTTGGATTCCACCATTTTTTTGAGAACCTGTGATTCATTGTTACCGGACCACTGTGACCCAAATTGTATATTTGTTGAGCCAAATATGGCAGCAGTGATTCGGGAGCGACATACTTTCCCCCTTTGGTTGAGCAGCTGGTTGAATCCATGGTGGCTCCTTTGTCTAATCATGTCCATGCTTCATATAGAGGAACGTCTTTGTACAGATCAATGATTGATTCAGGAGGCAGAATGGTCTTCTGTGCTGTACTACCTGAACACACTTGTACAGTCGCATAGGAACATGCCTGTTTAGCCGCTACATCAGCAAGAGCATTACCTTTAGCTTCCGTAGTATTAGTTGTAAGATGTGCTTTCACTTTGATCTCCGCTAATTTATTTGGAAGTTTCATGGCAAACATTAGATCTTTCACTAATCCAGCATGCTTAATGGGGGATCCAGCAGAAGTTAGAAACTGTCTGCTTTGCCAAATGACACCAAAATCATGAATTACCCCAAAAGCATACCTGGAATCTGTGTAGATATTTGAAACCGATCCTGAAGCTAGTGTGCATGCTCTAGTTAAGGCTACTAGTTCTGCAGCTTGAGCTGAGAAATGATCTGGAAGACGACCTGAAGCTACCACTTGGTAGTGGTAGTGGTGGACGTTACTGTATAACCTGCTCGTCTGTTACCTTCAAGGACTTGAGCTGAACCATCAACAAATAACTCAAATTCTGAATTCTCTATGGGAGTTTCTGTTACTTTACTCGTAGGTGTGTATGTAAGCGTAAGGGAACCTAGGTGGTTGGTGGTAATTTTCCCATTCAAACAAGTTGCCATTGTCAGCACAGGCACTCCGAAGTCCGTGTGCTCGAAATGGACGACACAAGCTGCTTATTCTAATGGTGACGTGGACGTTTTCCAAAATCTCAGGTAAGAGGGCCAAATTGCCCACAGGCTCTGTACGGACGCCTCTGGGGGTGCCAGTGCACTGTGAGGCGGGCCACCAAGTGCTTATGGAGCCCCCTAACTGCCTATTCTTCACCATAGTCCTCCTCAGTACCACAAAGTGCCTATTTTGACCCCTAACCACCTAAACTTCACCGAAGTGCCTATTGAGCCCCCTAACCACCTAAATTTCACCATAGTCTTCCTCTTTCTCCACAAAGTGCCTATTTTGACCCCTAACCACCTAAACTTAACCTCAGTGCCACGAAGTGCCTGCTGTGCCCACTAACCACCTAAACTTCACCATAGTCTTCCTCATTGTCCACGAAGTGCCTATTCTGACCCCTAACCACCTGTCCTCTTCCTCAGTGCCACGAAGTGCCTGTTGTGCCCCCTTACCACCTAAACTTCACCATAGTATCCCTCATTGTCCACAAAGTGCCTATTCTGACCCCTAAACACCTGCCCTCTTCCTCAGTGCCACGAAGTGCCTGTTGTGCCCCCTAACCACCTAAACTTTACCATAGTCTTCCTCATTCTCCACAAAGTGCCTATTCTGATCCCTAACCACCTGTGCCTTCATCACATACACCGACTGTCTGGGCATGACCACAGTGACACGTGCAACTTATTCCATGCGATTTCACAGGTACTTTGTGGACGGTGCTCCGATTGCGCCGTAATTGATGTATGCGTCCCGTCATGGGCCCCTGGGACGATCCCCAGAGTTCCGTGTCCACGTCTGCTCCTTTGGCTGAAAAAGGCACCCTTGACCTGGCACTTGGGCGGTCGGAAAAACAGGGGTCAAAAGGTCGCAGTGACTCCAAATTTGGCACTGTGGTTGTCCAGGGGCCCCTGGTTCTAGATCCTGGATCGCAGGGTTCTAGATCGGTTCCAAGTATGTCTTTTTGCAGTGCAAAGTTCTCCTCACTTTGGTTCAGTTTGACCTTTCAAGAGGGTATGTCTGTCTATGAGTGGAAGAGGCCTGTGCGGAAACTTAAACAAAGCAGGCAAAAAAATGTCCCCTGCGTTCTAGAGACTTGTCCTCCTAATATGTCGTTCGGGGGCCCGAGAACAACCAGCACACCGAGTTTGGGGCCCGAATAGGGGCCCCTGACACGTGCAACTTATACCATTCATTTTCACAGGTGTTTCGTGGACGGTGTCCGATCGGCCCGAAATTGACATATATGTCCCGTCACGGGCCCCTGGGACGGTCCCCAGTGTCCCGTGTCACCGTCTGCTCGTTTGGCTGAAAAAGGCCCCCTTGATCTGGAAGCGCCTGTGAAGTTTGAATTGAAAAAAGTTGAACGTGGGCGGTCAGAAATACAGGGGGTCAAAAGGTTGCAGCGGTTTTGGCATCGTGGTAGTCCAGGTGTGTCCGCAGTGTCTCAGCCCAGTGTCTCAGCCCAGTGTCTCAGCCCAGTGTCTCAGCCCAGTGTCTCAGCCCAGTGTCTCAGCCCGGTGGTAATGGTTTGCGCATCTGTGCTGCTGCACTCTTAATCCACTCCTCGTGTTTTGCTTATCAGCTCGCACACAGCAGCTATGTAGGCATATTTTAATTTGTTTAATTTTCTACTAAATAGATACATTTACTTTATAGACATCTTTGTCTGAAATCTCCATTATACTGTCGGTTTGCTCTGTTGTCAGTGTGTCTTTGTCTTGACACAAACACTGTACACATTCTGCGAGGTATCGGTTTTATGTATCGAAGCATTGTAGAGTGCGAGTACACGAGCGGGCCAATACGATACTGGTATTGAGTCAATTTTGCATTTAATAATAATGGATATCCTCAAAGTCTCTGCAGACTCTGATGGAGTGTGTGTGTTTGCAGACTCTGATGGAGTGTGTGTGTTTGCAGACTCTGATGGAGTGTGTGTGTTTGCAGACTCTGATGGAGAGTGTGTGTTTGCAGACTCTGATGGAGAGTGTGTGTTTGCAGACTCTGATGGAGAGTGTGTGTTTGCAGACTCTGATGGAGAGTGTGTGTTTGCAGACTCTGATGGAGAGTGTGTGTTTGCAGACTCTGATGGAGAGTGTGTGTTTGCAGACTCTGATGGAGTGTGTGTGTTTGCAGACTCTGATGGAGAGTGTGTGTTTGCAAGTGTGTGTTTGCAGACTCTGATGGAGTGTCTTGTGTTTGCAGACTCTGATGGAGAGTGTGTGTTTGCAGACTCTGATGGAGAGTGTGTGTTTGCAGACTCTGATGGAGAGTGTGTGTTTGCAGACTCTGATGGAGAGTGTGTGTTTGCAGACTCTGATGGAGAGTGTGTGTTTGCAGACTCTGAGGTCACACTAGTGTGGGAGAAGCAGCCGACTGCAGACGAGGAGCAGAGAGCCAGACGCCTGAAGCTGCCGCCCACCTTCCTCTGCGGCGTCAGCAGCGACTCCGACTCCGAGCGACCCGGCGACTTCAGCGCAGAGCTACACACACTGCAGCACGCTCAGGTCAGAGGACTTTCTGCACACTGACATGAGACGTGATTAGCAGCACTGGTTTGACTCATGTGTTGTGTTCTGGACACACAGGTGAAGCCGAAGCCTTCCCAAGATGCAGCAGCGGAAGAGCCTCCCGTGGACGGCAGCGTTGACCCCATTGACCTCTCCACGAAGAGGAGCAGCAAGAGCGAGTCCAGCTCCACTGCAGGTACACGTGTCCTCCTCACTTCTACAGCAGCGCTGCCCTGGACACACTCCAGTTTAACGTCTAGTGACTGTAAGAGCAGAGCAGCAGAGGGCGTTTACCTGGCGTATTAGAGCTATGACCTGGATTTATAATGAAGGATTATATAAGAAGGAATGAGACGTGAAAAAACCATCTCCAGACTTTAGCCTTCTGATCTAAACACTGATAACTGAAAGGAGACACGCCTGTGATTGGCTGACACCTTTGCATATGAAATGAGTAGTACATGTTCTAAAAACTACATTTCTACTCTTCCAGCTGCAGAGATGATCTGCTGTGAAAGGTGTTGATTACAGCATTAGATTTAGATCTTCTCATGTTGCATAAAAGAGAGCCAATCACAGTGATGTCTGCTGAACTCTCACACATGCTTTCATCATAACACACAGTGCAACACGATATAAATAAGAGATTCGTCTTTCAGCGTAGACGGTCATTGATTATAACGAGAGAGCAGATCTCACTGAATGAAAACACTGACACGACGATAAGACAATGTAAAACAATTACTACTTTGGTTCAGGTAAATGTAAGTTAAGTGTTTGAAACCAAAAATAAGGAACATTTGTTTTATTAGAATTGGATGCAGTTTCTTTCCTCAGTGTAGAAATGATAAAACATCATTGAAACCATGATACCAGTTGAACCAGTCTCTTCTCTATAATACACCATCATCTGTAAGCCCTAATCAGACAGTATATGTTTTATACGGGGAGGTGGGCTAATATAATCATTTCCACCGCTCTTCTAACATGTGGGAATGAAGTCCAGCCCGGGGTCAGAGAGTGAAGGACAGGGACGTTCATTCAAACACAAGCAGCATTTGCCTTTGGTATCGTCTGACGTCTTTGCTCTTCTCCAGCAGGTCTTCCTTTTGCATTTGAGAGTCTGCTTTCATTTGCAGACTTGGCAAAGACTTCAGGACAATCTGCTTTTGGCAAAAAAGGTGAGTGTTCTGTTTACATCTTAACCAGCGTTTAACCCGTGTGTCTGACAGTCATTAGATTTTATTTTTCATAATAAAGAGTGCAGTCAAATTCACAATTCTTTCTGTTGAGTTTTGTAACGGCTGAGTGAAAAATTATAAAATTATGATGGGGGGAAAACTATTCCTTAGTGAGAATGATAAATCTAGCGTGAAGGTGTAGTGCCAGCCAGAGCACAGGAGAGAGAGGGACACACACACCGTCTGAGGTTTCTGGGTGTGTCTGTGTGAACTGCTGCTGTTCTGCTGAGGCTATGGAGGGATATTTTAATTTGTTTAATATGCTACTAAATAGATACTTTTACTTTATATTCATCTTTGTCTGACATCTCCATTATACTGTCTGTTTGCTCTGTTGTCAGTGTGTCTTTGTCTTGACACAAACACTGTACACACTCTGCGAGGTATCGGTTTTATGTATCGAAGCATTGTAGAGTGCGAGTACACGAGCGGGCCAATACGATACTGGTATTGAGTCAATTTTGCATTTAATACTAATGGATTCCCTCAAAGGCTGTATTTTCTGATTGTCATCCTAGCGCTAGTATGTGGACACTAAAAGCATTTTGTGTTTTTATAAGCCATTCATGTGTTTGTACACACTGCTGCTGTCAGTATTGCTGTTGGCAGTGTGATGTTTTTAGTGTTTTCACACGCACGTTTATTTCTGTAGATGCAGATTTTGCGTGGTCAAACGCCGGCGCCACGGTCTTTGGTAGTGCACCAGCGCGAGAGGTGAGTGTGTGTGTGTGTGAGGTTAATCCAGCTCTTACGAAAAAGAAGTATACTTCAAGTTCATTTTATGAAGTATACTTAAGTAATGTTCAAGTATATTTTTAAGTATACTTTATGTAGTAAGTATACTAATGTCAATATGTACTAGTAGTAAACTTGTAAGTGTATTATTTTAATACCGCTTGGGACTAAATTGGCCCACTTGTAGTATATAAAAGTATGTTTAAGTGTACTAGAAGTGTAACAGTAGTAAACATTAAGTGCACAACTAGTTCATAATTACGTTTCTCATTTGTACTGCAAGTGAACTTATGGGTATACTAGTAGTTTACTATTTTAATACTTTTTAGTAAATTTTTAGTTTATGAAAGTACACTTTGAAGTATACTCTCGGTAAACGACTAGTTTAGTAGTTCTATACTGCAAGTTTTCTTTTAGTGTACTCTCAGTAAGCTACTAGTTTTGTACTACAAGTTTTCTTTAAGTGAACTTAACATCATACTTATAGTTTACTGTTTATATATTATTTTTGCACTTGCAGGAGGCCTACTACTATGTTCAAATGTTATTTTTTTATACTTGGAGATACTTTATACTTTTTATACTTACTTTAAAAAAAAACATTTAATTAGCTTCATGCATCCTTTATCAACACTTGAATGTTGGTAAGTTTCATAAAGAAAGGCAACATTTTAAACAAAAAAGTTGAGAAAATCTCATTTGTGTCAAAGACTACGCCTTGATCAGATTCAGAACGATGATGAAAACACAGATGGAGTAGATCGAGTCCAACACCCCCAAAGCCTCAGTCGCTTTCTCTTCATGGGTTACGCTTCATTTCATTTGGAAACATTAAGCAGTTTTGATTCACACGCAGTTTAACGTTATTTTACATTTGAGTGAGCAATCTTCTATCACTTGTTTCAGCTTCTTCTTCTCCTGTGTTTTGATCCGGATATTCTTTATTAGAAGATGTGTCATAGCGCCCCCTACCGTATAACAGTGAAAACATGGATAGCTGGAAAATTCAGTCGGAAAGAGTAAAGTAGAATTAAAGTAAATTCCAATGTACACTACCAGTGGACTAGCCTACACAAAAATTCAGAGATGCAGAATTAGAAACATATCTGTTTTATATCAATATTTTAATCAATATTTTCAAACATAAGTTTCATAAGACTGTATATGAAAAACTATGTAAAAAAAAGAGTATATTTAATAGGCTACTCGATCAAAAGAGTCAACCCACTGCAAGCCAAGTATACTTTGAATACTTAATTATACTTTTAAGTATATCTCGATCAAAAGATTGAGTACAAGTACAGGCCAAATATACTTGGACTTTTCTCTCAGTATAAGTCAAGTACACTTAAGTGTAATTTGTAGTATATTTAAGTACATAAAGTATATTTTTGAGAAGTATATAAAATGTAGACTGAAAGTATGCTTTCTTAGTTTTAGTTGAAAAGAAGTGTACTAATAGAACACTTGAATAAACGTATTTTTCGTAAGGGTAATTATTATCGCTGTACAAGATCAGGTTCAGGTCTATGCTTATTTTATTTACTCTAAGATATTCCACCCGGAAGCTTGTTACTATATAAACTTGAACATGTTAGTTTATAAAACAGTGTGTAATATTATGTTTTTAAAAAAGTATTTAATAAGCTACTCAATCAAAATAGTAAGCACAAGTACAAGCCAAGAATACTTAATTATTCTTAAGTATAGGCCAAATATACTTGGACTTTTCTGTCAGTATAAGTCTAGTAGACTTAAGTGCAATTTGAAGTATATTTCTGAGAAGTATATAAAATGTAGACTAAAAGTATACTTTCTTATTTTTAGTTTAAAAGAAGTATGGTTTCGTTCAGCGCGTCTGAAGATCTTAAAATCTAAATCACACATTTTAAAAGAATATAATTTATCATTTTGTCTCATCCCTTTTCTTAAAAATGTTTGAGGTTTAACGGGAGGGCGGTCCATCTACGGAGGGAAGTTTGAGGACGACGACGTGAGGCACACGGGCCCGGGACTGCTGTCCATGGCCAACCGCGGCAGAGACACCAACACCTCGCAGTTCTTCATCACACTCAAGAAAGCAGAACACCTGGACTTCAAGCACGTGGCTTTCGGCTTCGTCAAAGAAGGCATGGATGTGGTGAAGAGAATAGCAGAGCTGGGCAGTAAGGACGGCAAACCCACTAAAGCCATCACCGTCTCAGACTGTGGACAGTTGTAAACTTTTCTACGTTTGGCAAACTTCTGTTCATGTGGGAAATGATGTTTACTGAACTTTTGTGTCTCTCCTTTTTCTCTCTCTACTTCTTGGGTATGACCTACATGAAATTGACCATAAATGCATTGATTAAAGGGGTTAGTTCACCCAAAAATTAAAATTATCTCATTACTCACCCTCATGTCGTTTCTAACCCGCAAGACCTTCGTTCATCTTCAGAACACAAATGAAGATATTTTTGATGAAATCTGATTGCTATTGGGTGGGGGGTGGGGGGTGGGGGGGCATTGACAGCTAATTAATTAAATAATCAGCCCTTTGAAGGCCCAGAAAGGTAGGAAAGACATCGTTAAAATAGTCCATGTAACTACAGTGGTTCAACCTTAATTTTATGAAGTGACGAGAATACTTTTTGTGCGCCAAAAAAACAAAATATTGACTTTATTCAGTCATTTCTTCTCTTCTGTGTCACTCTCTGACGCGCGTTCACGAGAGCACCGCGACGCCATCGGATTTCATCAAAAATATCTTAATTTGTGTTCCGAAGATGAACGAAGGTCTTACGGGTTAAGTTCAGTAATAATTAAGTTTTGGGTGAACTAACCCTTTGAATATCAAAGCACAATATATATTTTTTTGTTCACAATTGTGAATTTAAATAAGCAAGTACATCATAAATCCATCTTCCATAAGGCAAGCCTATTACGTGTATATATTTATATTTATATTTATATTTTAGACCTGTCGGGATAGATTGTTTTTTCTTGGGGCCTCAAAACAAAAAAATCTAATCACATTTAAAAAATCACATTCATTTCATGAGATTTTCCCTCCACTGTTAATTGTTTTACTTCAATGAAAGAACAGATCTTTGGAACTTTTGGAATGAATGATAAAAAAGATAAAATAAAATAAATAAGCAAAATTATTTTCCTTTTAATCTTTCATTCAAAATATTCACAAAAAAATCTACCTTTAAATTAAGTATATTTGAAAAGAAAAGAGAAAATAGTTTTTTATGCAAACCGTGTCACTTATTCGCACCTTTAGAAATTCTTATGAGTAAAAATCAAACTATATAGTGCTATATATATTTAGTTTAACAGTGATTTAGTACAGTGAAGTGGTAAACTATGATGAACTCTAATACTGAGTAAAAAACTGGCCAAATGCCTGTATCATCCATCACTATAGGAAAGAGTAGAGAATACAGTGTTGAAGCAATTTAATATGTTCTATATATGTGCATTTTCTTATATTCATAGTAATTAGATTAAGGTAGTAAAATGCACAAGGATTGCATGTGGAGTCTCATGATTCTCTGTTACATTGATAGAACAACAAACTATTAACCCTTATCTGTGTGTGTGTGTGTGTGTGTGTGTGTGTGTGTGTGTGTGTGTGTGTGTGTGTGTGTGTGTGTGTGTGTGTGTGTGTGTGTGTGTGTGTGTGTGTGTGTGTGTGTGTGTGTGTGTGTGTGTGTGTGTGTGTGTGTGTGTGTGTGTGTGTATGACCTTGTATACGTGACTTGACAAAAAGTAATGTGTGACTAATGTATGACTGAGACAAAAAGGGCCTTTTACACATTAGAAGTAGGATGCAACAATGTGTTAGTTATGGACATGTTCATGATGAGGGAGTCAAATATAAAGAAGAAAGGATGCCCTCCCTTCTCTGTCACACTCTGCAGACACTCTTTATGACTGTTGACCTTTTCTTGAAAGAAAATAAATAACCTTTAAAGACAATTGCTACATGTTTGTCTCTTATTCAGTGATGTCAAATTGTTTGCCACCACAATTGTAATGTGACTGAAATTACTCAAATTAGGAATTAGAAAAGGCCCATTTCAGATCGACAGTGGAGCTGGACGAGTACGTGCGAGGAGGAGGAGGAGGAGGAGGAGCAGGAGGAGCAGGAGG